GGAGCATTTGTGAACTGGGTCACAATGTCGAATGCTAAAGGAGCCTGTGAAATTTGACTATCTCTAACACCTTAAATTAAATGCTAATGGGCATATCCATACAGCCGGACTTTCTGAATTCCTCTCTGCTTGTCTCACTTTTAAAACCATGGACAGGCTTCAGGGTTTCCTGACCCCAAAATGAACAGAAAGGGGGTGGGAAAAGGGGATAATGAGCAAGCAGGAAATGTCTCTAAAGAATCATTCATTTTGTGTTCTATGGAACAGAAATAAGCCCCTAAAACCCACATTCTATAATCCTTACTACTGCCACCTCAGGCAAGGCTTGCAAAATACCAGAAGGATGCCAATGATCCAAAACCCCCATCAATTAAATAGGAAATAGTTGATTATTTGGTAAAGGATAAGGAATAGCCTCAAACATTTTCATCTGCTTCAATAAATCAGGGTAACACTACTAAATCAATGAGAGTCAGGGTGAAATATATCTTTTTTTTTTTTAAGGGAACCATTAGCAAATCTAGCCCCCCCCCTCCACCCAATCCATCCATGGTTAGATTCACAATTGATTTATTATAAGCCAGGCCTGAGGAAAAAGGCAGACGACTAAAGGTATTAGAAATGTCACTGGTGATTTCCTCTTCTTTCCAATTAAAGGTAGTGTACTGTATATAGAGAAGTGAGTTTTTCATCTCAAGTACACAGTAGGGAGAAACAAACCTGAGAAAACTGTGATTGTTTTCATTAAGTATGGTTAACACAGACAGCACACATTAGTGCAGAAGAACAAAGAAAATGTATTTTCTTTTATAGTAGGGAAAAAAAAGTGATACAGTTGTAAGATCTATAATAAGTTGGTACATCTAATAAAATGAAAAAGGAAACATACAGACCCATATTGAAAGAGAAGGCAGCTTGATGCCAGGAAGCCAGTCTAAGGTGGACTTTTATGCTTTTTTAAGGTTTCACTATAGGAGGGATTAAGCAGTTATAGCTAAGATTATGTAATGGAAATGCCAGCATTTTTTTAAAGCTAGTTTTATAGCCAGAAAATAACAATAACAAATATTTGTGCAAAATTCATACAAAAATTTTAAAATTCCTTGCCAAATTTAGGAATACACTACACTGACAATGTATGAGAACTAAATGAGTCAATGGAGGGGATGTAAAATGGAAGAAAATATGAATTTCATTGATTTCATAAATTCATCAGGGTTTTGTTATCCAAGACAGGTACAGATATGTACCTTCTATTAGCAAAGACTTATTGGTAGCCAAGTCTGAAGTTTCTTCAAGAGAGCAAACTGAATATAATCCTGTTTGTTATTTCTTAACTATTAAAACATATATTTAGAGAAAGGCATATAAGTCAACAGGTAAATGTTTTCATTGAAATACGTCTACATATACTAACATACACACTCAGCTAAAGTTTATTTGTCATATGGAATCAGTAATTGTTGCATCCTTTTCATTTATAACCTTCCATAGTCCTAATCTTCACTTCATTAACTATCAAGCACTTGAATCCTGACATGAACCAGGTTTCTTCAATGAAAAATCAATGAATTGCAAGTAAGAGAAGCTGAGATTGTGGCTGTCTCTCTGGTTATTGAAAACAGTAAAAAGAAAAATAGAGTTCAAATGCATTTAGTTTAAATACAGCAAAGAATTTGGTCACAGCAGATGTTAAACAATTACAGAAGATTATTGAAGGGAGCTCAGAAGTCGTCTCAGATGTACTTAATGATTGTTTCTTCTAAGTACAAACATCTCAAAGCTACTCTTAGTATTTATTTGATTTTTCTATTCCTCTTTACCCTTCACAAAGAAAATCAACAAGTTCCATTCGGGTTACAAAATGAGTATCCCTCAACTGAGAAATGATGCAACTCCCTTCCCCCATAGGCAAATCTTTCAAAGGAGAACACTAGGTCTTTTTAACAATAGGAATGAAAACACAGGTTAATAACGTGCTGATGATAACATGCCTCAGAGACTCTGTACAAAGGAAAAAGCAGCCATGAAGGGTTTGAAGGAGGATGGAGGTGTAGATGAAACAGGACTGCTCATGAGTGTATGTAAGGGCAGGACCAGGCACAGTGCAGGTTTTCTGATCCCATGCAGATCGGGTAAAGGAGGAGTCAGAGTCCTCAGTAGTTTTGCAGGTTTTTTATTTGGGGTTCACCAGGCATATGGCAGGCAGGGGTGCTGGCTGGGGGGCTGGGAGGCCTGCCAGCCTCCCAGCCCCCAGCAAGTCTTCACTCTATCTGGGCTCTCTGGCGTTCTCTGCTTCTGCTTCGGCTGCTGCTGGTGCTGGTGCTGCTGGCGTCCCCCCGTGACGCCGCCCTTAAAAGCACAGTCTTAGCTCAGCTGAATCCCATCTACCTATGCCCACACCCTATTCCAGGTGCCCGCCATCAGGCATGCATTCAGGACAAGGATCCATCATCTATCCTGAAGGCGGAAGGGCAGAAAAGCCTGACATTTTCTTTACCCTACAGTCCACCCCCTCAGGGTTTTCTGCCATACAGTCTATACATATATATACAATTTTCTAAGCAAACAAACAATGCAGCCATGGCCCACAAAAGCAAATACATCAAATATAACAAAATACAATATAACAAAATACAACAGAACACAAATAAGTCCAGGCAGGGCACCAACCAAGTGCAAAAGACAATTATTGGTACCAGCAGATGAGCCACCAAATCTGCTGCCGAAGGCACTGCTCATATGAGGGAGGGGAATCACTCACGGCATCTACTATATCACACCAGGAGCCGTCAGGCTTCCTGGCCTTCTCTGGCTATAGTCTAGGCTACAAGGCACACAGCATCCACCCCCAGGATGCACTAGCTCTGGGATTGGCAATTTTATTCTGTTGGGGGTAATCGCCAACCCTCAGGGTTTCTGTCTGCAGTCGCTCCAACACTCGGCCTTCATGGCCACCCATGCGACTCGCAGACCCCTGCACTCAGGCCAACCCACTGCACAAGCACATGGGTCGGGGATCCAAACTTTGCATTTGGCTTGGGCTCCACCCCAAGCCACATTCCCCACCCGTCCCCCAAGGACGGGCTCCTCAGCTCCTCACCCTCACTCAAGAATGAGCAGGGCATCACCCATAGGTGATTTTACGAGACTCACAGGGCTTCAGCATACCCAGGCTGCTTAACAGCCGCTTTAGGGCTTCTCAACTTAGCATCAGTACCAGCTTTTGCCACCTTAGTTGGCTTTTCTCCTCCACCTGGCCACTGGGCATACACAGGCTGCTTTTGGCCATCTAGGCCCACTGGCCACCCCCAGATTCTCAAAAAATAAACATAACCTGCTAAGGTCCTCCGCCTTCTGGCGGGATTGTCAGTCCAGGTTTATCCGTCCATGTCCATTGGCCTCTCCCTGCGTCAGCAGCGGCCTGCTGCCTCAGGGGTCATTGGCTGGTCCTTTCCAGTGTCGTTGCCTGGTCCTTTCCGGTGTCGTTGGCTGGTCCTCTCGGGCATCTCCTCCATGCGAGGTCTCGTCCCACAGCTCCAGAACGAATCCACCTTCTGTGCCGCCATGGTGCCTCCAGCATCCTCACAGTCAAACACAGTCTGTTCTCCTTAGTCCCTCCAGGTCTTTGGAGGGCTCCAATACCCGTCTACATGGATCCTGCCGACTACGCCAATTGTAAGGGCAGGACCAGGCACAGTGCAGGTTTTCTGATCCCATGCAGATCGGGTAAAGGAGGAGTCAGAGTCCTCAGTAGTTTTGCAGGTTTTTTATTTGGGGTTCACCAGGCATATGGCAGGCAGGGGTGCTGGCTGGGGGGCTGGGAGGCCTGCCAGCCTCCCAGCCCCCAGCAAGTCTTCACTCTATCTGGGCTCTCTGGCGTTCTCTGCTTCTGCTTCGGCTGCTGCTGGTGCTGGTGCTGCTGGCGTCCCCCCGTGACGCCGCCCTTAAAAGCACAGTCTTAGCTCAGCTGAATCCCATCTACCTATGCCCACACCCTATTCCAGGTGCCCGCCATCAGGCATGCATTCAGGACAAGGATCCATCATCTATCCTGAAGGCGGAAGGGCAGAAAAGCCTGACATTTTCTTTACCCTACAGTGTATGACTGCCAACACTGGGTAATGGGAATGTGGGGTTCATATTAATCTCCTTTGTTCATAACCAAATGGCTTAAAAAAGTAGAACTAAAATGATCAGCACCCCCAAATAATTTAAGAATGGGAGGATAAACAGGAATGAAAAATTAGGATGGCATGAGTAACTACAATTTACAAATAATATAAAAACACTATGATGGACAATATCTTAAATCCCTCCAACTATAAACCAGAGACACACCACGGGGGGTGGGGGGGGAAGGGAAGGGGAGAGGAAGGACTAGGGTCAAAATAAGGGGGGGTGCAATTGTATGGGGAAAATAACCAAAATGATAATGTGTACATTCTGCGAAAATGAAAAATGATGCAAGAATTATATAAAATAAAATATTAATTAAAAAAATAAAATGTAAAAAAAAAATCTCTCCCCTCAATGCATAGCATGGCACTTACCTGGATATGTACCCATTGCTATAACCATCAAAATAGACTTACTGGACATTTACTTCACATACCCTGACTTTTATGAAATGAATTCTAGTCAGGCAGCCCAGGGTGAAAGAAAAAGCAAAGGAACCTGGATAAATCCCAATATACAATATAAATCCATGAATAGCAAAAGCTGGCCATCTAAACAACAGGTTTGGTAGAAAAGAGGTACGATGGGTATTCAATTCCACTTTGAATTTTTACTCCACTAATCACTTTGAGAGGTCAATTACCTCCAATTACACTCTTCTCCATAGAGTAAGGGCTTAATAAATGAATGCTAATTAGCTAAAATGGCATCCTTGGCTCTATCATTCAATTATACATGGCCGCAACTATCAAGGCTTGACTTTTAAATTTATGTCACAGTGTAAGTGCTTTGATAAAGACAACATATAAGGCATGCTCTACCTGATATCCAAAGAAGACCATCAGCCACATATCCAGCATGGCACGAAAGGGATCGGTCAAAGGACTGCACAAAAGTCCACTTGTTCTTCTTGGGGCAGTATCTCTCAACCGTAGGTAGAACCTGGCGCAGCTCATTTCTGCCCCCCACCGCATAGAGGTATTCATCCATGGCACCCAGCACGAAATGCTCCCTGCAGTTTTTCATGGGTGCAATCTCTGCCCAGGAATTACTGCGGGGGTCATAGCGACAGGCAGTCCTCACGGCACATGTCCGGCCGCTGGCGTGCTCAACTTCCCCTCCTGCCACAAACAAGAAGTCCCCCATGACAGCCACGCAGTGGTGGCTCCTGCCCACGGGCATGGGGGCCAGCTCACTCCAGTTGGCAATGGCAGCTATGAGGGCGTTCTCCTGATCCACAGGATTGAAGTACCGAAGTTCCTTGACTTTACAGACCTCTCGCTTTTTCCCACCGATGATGTACAGAGTGTCAGACTGAAAGCGCGGTTTGGTCCTGCGCGTCTGCCAGACCGGCTGGGCATAGATGCTCTGGTGGTATTCCAGGGCCTCATTGACCAGGGCTGTTGCCCTCTCACTCGCCTGAACGAGGGGGTGGGACAGGGCAACCGTGTGCAGAGTGTCCACATCCATTAGGCCGAAGCGAATGTACTGTAGGAGCTCGTCCATGTACTGGTAATGGCAGTTGTGTTCCAACCACCTCACAGCTAGCTGAAACAGAGGGAGGTGAGGTAATAAGAGAGAATAATACAAAGATAAGAAAGAGCTAAAGCCATGGCTTATCTGCAGGCCACCACAGATTCTTTCAGACACGCAATAATGTACTTTTTTCTTACAAACTGTGTAACACTGGAATGTTTTGATACCCAGTTGAGGAATTCTTTTCTGCTACACCTGAGATCCAAAAGAACTTCTTTGTAGGATTTAGGAAGAATAGGAGCAACACTGACTGGTGGGTAAGGTCTCGCTTGGGGGTGAACAACATTTGCATTTCAAAGAATGAGAATACCGTTGTGTAACAATCTGTTCCTTCATGCGTCATGCATGAGAAGCATAGTACAGCCCATCACTAGGAAATGTCAACAGAGAGCAGTGTCATCACAAGTCAAGGTGCAGTATCAATACCAGTAACACGGGAAAATATGTGATCATCTGAGACCACAGGGCGTGCTTGAGAGAAAATCAATATACCACTAGTAGAGTGATTTAAGAAGAAAAAGGATTTTCCTTCCTTCCTTCCCCTTTGTAGGTACATGAGTAAGGATGCAAAAGAAGAAAGATTGCAACCAATAAGTTTTTATTTATTAGCTTTTGTCTTGAAGATGGTTGTTGTTCGCATGTGTTGCACACTGGTAATTTGTTGGATCAATTTTCCCAAAAATAAGATGTAGAGATTATCATTGTTCTTGGACACAATAGCAGGATGTAATTAGAACCTTTTCTGTAATTCTAGATCTCCTTCAAGAAGGAAAGGAGAAAGAACTTATGGCTAGGCATAAGGCATAATATGTTTGCATTAAAGCAAACATATATTCTTAAAACTAAAGCAGGTACATTAAGACATAAATAATAAAACTGATTTATAATTTAGAAAATACCATCCACAAAAACCCAATTCATATTAGGGAGCAGTTGAAGTAATTTAACTAATCTGATACAATATTTAAGCTTGGCGAATTTTTCCACACACCAATATAATATAATAAATAACATCTAATATTTTCATGAATATGTGAATTATTTTTAGAAGCACCTACACTAAACTATATCTTCTAGAAGATATAAAAGTGCATCTGGGGGCCTCCCCGGTGGCGCAGCGGTTGAGTGCTGGGTTGTGAAGTTCCCCGCGGCCTCTGCGGCGCCAGTTCGATTCCCAGCTGCTCCCCGGCCACCGAAGGAGGGTCCCACATGGTGCGCAGACCTCTCCTGCCGCCCGCTGCTCCCCTCACCAGTGTACTTCGGTCCTTCTGCCTGCTCTGCTCCCTGCTCTGGCTCTAGTGAATTCTCTCACCCTCCCGTGCTTCTGACTGTACCCAGTGCATGTATAAACAAACAAACAAATAAATAAATAAATAAAATACGTGCCTCTTTATAAAAAAAAAAAAGTGCATCTGAAGGAATTATCATTAAAAAGTAATTAATTAGAATATTGAATCATTTTGCAAATAACTGGGGGAAAAGGCTCTGGAGGGAGGCAATGTTGTACTCTTAGACCATCAGCAAACATGAACTGGGCTTTTCTCCTGGTGAAAAGGATCACTAATCCTGAAGCACTAGATGATTTCTGACTTTTAGAATTTCTGTATCCATTTGACAAATGGCTCTAAAAGACAAGGCATACTTGGAGCTTATTTTTTTTTTTTTTAGATTCTGAAGGAATAGAATGTAGAAAGTGAATTCCCCTCTAATATGTACTGAATTGCATCTCTTAATGAATTATGTAGTGAAGAGAAATGAAAAAAGAATGTCACTCACTAGATACCAATGCCAAGCAAGCAGACACCATTGAGAGCAGATGACTGACAGGCACTCTCACTGTTTTTCTAGAAACCAGAATTAAAAAAAAAAAAATAAGACAAAAACCCAATGGAAAAAAATTATCCGTGTATGGTAACATTAGCAAAAATCAAAGATACTGCAGAAGAAAAGCATCCTTCATCAATCATCAGGGCTCTGCTAGAGGTGGAGAGAGCTCCCACCGGCAACATTTTGTTTTTCTCTACCCTAATTTTAGAAGTTTCTTGGGATGGGGTTCCAATTATTTCCCTGGAGAGATAATTCAACAACTTAATAAATGATTTCCCATTCTTTGCCCACAGAGCTTTCAAAAGTTCCCAGAGATAAAGTCATCACACTCAAGGTCATTTCTCATGCACAAGTAAAATTTTCTGAAACTTAATCTTTGATACTGCTCTTAATTTAATTGAGAAATTCCAGCTGATAATTGCTTTGCTCTCCAATAAATTTCTCAGCATCCTTTTATTCCACTATTTCTGCATCTTTCAGATGGATAATATAGGAAACAACACTGAAGAAATAGTAGATAAATACCCATGTCTCCATAGTTTCTTTTTATAGCACAATGCTGCCCATTTAATTATATTTCTCTTTCCTCATAAATCAGTTCTTCCTACGCCATAATCAATCTTCTAGTCCATCTCTGAGCATTCTTTGGTTTATCTTCATCTTTCTAACTAACAGTATCACTTACTGTGTGAAAGGTACACAAGCCACAACTAGACTGTACTTTTCAGAGAATCTCTAATGAATCAAACTGGCAGTGGAACAGTGATCAGTTTTTTCCCTCACTGACTGATTTCTGACTCTTATCTACTATCACTCCTATGTTGCATGTATTCTGCTTTCCATGCTTAATTTCCCCCAATACTATGTATCACATAATACTTTGTGTACCTACATTTTGTTTGCATTTTCTGGGATCATTTTCTCTTATTTATCGCCATTATTTCCAATTTCTCACAGATTTCTTACCATTTTCACACCTTTATCATTTATAAATATTTATGGACTACACAAGTCATTCATACTTTTGAGCTTATCTTTTCTCCAGATCAAAGGATCAAAGGTAAAAATAATTTACATTTAACTTTTATGCCATCAACTTTAAACCAATCTCACCTAGATATAGTGTTTTTTATAAGTCCAGTGCTTCTCAAACTTATCATACACTTATATTATATGGAGTTTCTGGTCAAAATGCAGATTCTGATTCAATAGGTGGGAGGAGGATTAAGAGTCTGCATTTCTAACAATCCTCTGGTTAATGCATGTGCTACTGATCCATGGACTACACTTGGAATAGGTAGGTTTTAGACAGATTTCCATTTATTAAACAATAAACTGTTGCCTTATTACAGTAAATTCAGTCTGTTTTTTTAAACTGAAAAAGTGTTAATCAAATAAATGCTTTAGTAAAGACATAGGGCACAAAGAGCTTAAAATTGTGGGTAGTGTAGCTTATTTCTTATATAGTAAAATATGGGAAAGAGCATATTTTGAAATCTTGGTGTAGACCCTATATGGTCCATAAATCAACAGCTGATTCTGGTATCATTAAGTAAGTCATGTAAGCACTCTGCAGTTTGCTTTTACAAAATGAATAAATGAATGTGAAAATGTGAGAGCACTGTACACTGCTTTTACTTTCATGAAAATTTAAAAGAGAAAGATCACTGAAACCATGGGTAAATTTTGTTTATCCAAATAATGAAAGACATGGCAATGAAAATTCAAAACAATGGGCTATCTCAAGATCGCTTCTGTCTGAACCTCACCAGAGCACTGTTTCCTGCCATGCTAGATTAAGGGCAAAGTGTTGGAAGAAATCCTGGAGCCTATTTAAGGGGGTTAGAGACTACTAAGCAGAAGGCTATTCACCATAGGGACATCATGAGACTCAAGAACCACAATTAGTTATGTAGCATATTTTAGTGCTTAGGTTTGAAAGCAGTTATTCTGGAAACTGGTGGATTCTAAAATAACACTACACTGAGAAGGAAATCTTGGGGGGGAGCGCTGAAATTCTATTGTATATTATTTATTCTGGCATACTTTCATCTGCATCCCCTAAACTCTAGCATATTTTAACTGGGAAAAAATATTGAAAGTTATTACTTCCACTTTTTGGTGACAAAATCAGACAAAATGGAAAAGAAATTAAGGAATCAATTTGAGAGGGCACAACAAAAATTACTTAGGAAACATGGCCATTCAGATAAGATGCTCCCTTAGCCATCTGAAATATTGCAGACTGTCATCTCCAAAGACTACAGAGCTCCCAAGCACCCCGTCTGATCCAGTCTAGTTCATCTTACCCTCATGGGGAACTGTTCCTTTTTAGAAGGAATATTTGCTACAGCTTATTCCAGTTCATCTCATTTTCACATACATCCTTGATAACAGTGCCTGGCACAAGGTAGGCTACCAATATTTGTTGCATAAACAGAAAGTTTTTTATAGCTATTTTTAGACTAATATTTTGCTTCAACAAAAATATTAATTCTTTCATACATTTATTCAGGCTTCAGTTTCCAATTTTCTTATCTTTGGTGCTTTCTTCAAAAGCCCTTATACGCCCTCCAAACTCCACCCTGCAGGATGCATTGTTTTGGACTTAGATATATAAGGCCTTGTTTTAGACCCTTACATGATTGGTGCTGGCCACCTCTATTTGAGATTTTTGGCAATACAATGAATATTCTGGGCTTTTGAGCCCTCAAATAACAAAATTTAGAGCAAGAAGAAGTGTTAGAGTCCATTTGACTCAAGCTTCTCAATTTTATAAATGGAAATAAAATCCAGATAATTTATTTGTCTTACCCCAAGTCATGTAGTTAATTAGTGGAAAAACTAGAATTAGAACTCCAGTTTTTTAATTATACAATGTTTATCCATTATATCACATCATTATTTTCCCATCAATAATTATTTTTAGGTAGAATACAGACCAGGGTACCTGAGATCGCATATACTTTCCACATTCTGTAAGTCAGAAAAATAAAGTTTATTTTTTTTTAAAAGCATGCTTTGTGTCAACATAGTTTGCTAGTATCTTTCAGTGAGTCTCATTAATGGACTATTTCAACATAAAAGTCATATTTAATAGTGCATATTAAAGAAATAATTTAAAACAAGTAGTTCAGGGAAATGACATCCTTTGAGCCCTATTGTTTCATTTTTCATGAGTATAC